CCAACTATATACCTCCTCAACCTTAATGGGTCAAGGGGTTATGTTATGGAAATGGATATACATGCTGATGCGGAATCTAAGCAGCTGGATATACATGCTGATGTGGAATCTAAGCAGCTGGATATACATGCTGATGTGGAATCTAAGCAGCTGGATATACATGCTGATGTGGAATCTAAGCAGCTGGATATACATGCTGATGTGGAATCTAAGCAGCTGGATATACATGCTGATGTGGAATCTAAGCAACCGGATATACATGCTGATGTGGAATCTAAGCAGCTGGATATACATGCTGATGTGGAATCTAAGCAGCTGGATATACATGCTGATGTGGAATCTAAGCAACTGGATATACATGCTGATGTGGAATCTAAGCAGCTGGATATACATGCTGATGCGGAATCTAAGCAGCTGGATATACATGCTGATGCGGAATCTAAGCAGCTAAGGACATGTCCAGAGTGCTGTGAGAATATTCCGACTCATGCTGACAATGATCATGTGACTGACGAACAAACGGTAAAGACATATTGTCCCAAACAGAATTTTTGTTTTCCTTTTTGACTTTGCAGTTGAATGAAATTAAAGAAAGTTACACAACATCTGGCCTTATTTTTGATTCAGAGACATCTGACATTTCCTAAAGAGCATAGATACATATGTAAAAATGCATGTTTGTTTCTACTGGATCCAAATTGGTGACTTAAGTGTAAACTTTTTATGCTGGGATACTACAGATAGAATGTTCCATACTCAAATGTGTTACTACAGATAACACTACCCAATACTCACGTGTTACTGCAGATAACACTACCCAGTCCTCAAATGTGTTACTACAGATAACACTACCCAGTCCTCAAATGTGTTACTACAGATAACACTACCCAGTCCTCAAATGTGTTACTACAGATAACACTACCCAGTCCTCAAATGTGTTACTACAGATAACACTACCCAGTCCTCAAATGTGTTACTACAGATAACACTACCCAGTCCTCAAATGTGTTACTACAGATAACACTACCCAGTCCTCAAATGTGTTACTACAGATAACACTACCCAGTCCTCAAATGTGTTACTACAGATAACACTACCCAGTCCTCAAATGTGTTACTACAGATAACACTACCCAGTCCTCAAATGTGTTACTACAGATAAAACTACCCAGTATTCTGTGTTACTACAGATAACACTACCCAGTCCTCAAATATGTTACTACAGATAACACTACCCAGTATTCTGTGTTACTACAGATAACACTACCCAGTACTCAAATGTGTTACTACAGACAACACTACCCAGTACTCAAATGTGTTACTACAGATAACACTACCCAGTACTCAAATGTGTTACTACAGACAACACTACCCAGTACTCAAATGTGTTACTACAGATAACACTACCCAGTACTCAAATGTGTTACTACAGACAACACTACCCAGTACTCAAATGTGTTACTACAGACAACACTACCCAGTACTCAAATGTGTTACTACAGACAACACTACCCAGTACTCAAACGTGTTACTACAGACAACACTACCCAGTCCTCAAATGTGTTACTACAGATAACATTACCCAGTACTCAAATGTGTTACTACAGATAACACTACCCAGTCCTCAAATGTGTTACTACAGACAACACTACCCAGTCCTCAAATGTGTTACTACAGATAACACTACCCAGTCCTCAATGTGTTACCGCAGATAACACTACCCAGTACTCAATGTGTTACTACAGATAACACTACCCAGTCCTCAAATGTGTTACTACAGATAACACTACCCAGTCCTCAAATGTGTTACTACAGACAACACTACCCAGTACTCAATGTGTTACTACAGATAACAGTACCCAGTACTCAAATGTGTTACTACAGATAACAATACCCAGTCCTCAAATGTGTTACTACAGATAACACTACCGAGTCCTCAATGTGTTACCGCAGATAACACTACTGAGTCCTCAATGTGTTACCGCAGATAACACTACCCAGTACTCAAATGTGTTACTACAGATAACACTACCCAGTACTCAAATGTGTTACTACAGATAACACGACCCAGTCCTCAAATGTGTTACTGCAGATAACACTACCCAGTACTCAAATGTGTTACCGCAGATAACACTACCCAGTACTCAAATGTGTTACTACAGATAACAGTACCCAGTACTCAAATGTGTTACTACATACAACACACTACTCAGTACTCAAATGTGTTACTACAGTCAACACTCTACCCAGTATTCAAATGAGTTACTTAAGACAACACTGCACCCGGTACTCAAATGTGTTACCACAGAAAACACACTACCAAGTACTCAAATGAGTTACATAAGACAATTCTACCCAGTACTTAAATGTGTTACTACAGAAAATACACTACCAAGTACTCAAATGAGTTACATAAGACAATTCTACCCAGTACTTAAATGTGTTACTACAGAAAACACTATGCAGTACTCAAATGTGTTACTACAGACAACAAACTACCCAAGTACTCAAATGTGTAGACAACATTGTATCCAGTACTCAAATGTATTACTACAGACAACAAACTACCCAGTACTCAAACAGCAAAAGCTAGGTGGACAGATAGCTAGGTAAGCATGCAGACAGGTAGTCAGATAAATAGGTGAGTAGACTAGCAGACAAACAGGTGAGTAGACAAGCAGACAAACAGGTGAGTAGACAAGCAGACAAACAGGTGAGTAGACAAGCAGACAAAAAGGTGAGTAGACTAGCAGACAAACAGGCAAGCAGACAGGTCGCTAGACAGATATGTGTAGACAGAGACAAGCAGATAGGCAGCTAGACAGACAGGTGAGAAGACAGACAAGCAGACAAGTAGCCAGATAGTGAGAAGACTGGTAGACAAGCAGGGAGGCTGAAAGGTAAGTAGACAGGTGAGTAGACAGAAACAGGCAGGCAGGTAGGTAGACAAGTGAGCAGACTGAAAAGCAAGCAGTCAGACAGACAGGTAGATAAATAGAGAGGTGAGTACACAGAGACAAGCAAGCAGACAGGTAGGCAGATAAATAGTTTAGTACACTGTTAGACAAGCAGGCAGGTCGGCAGATAAACAGGTGAGTACACTGGTAGATAAGCAGACAGGTAGGCAGATGAACAGGTGAGTACACTGGTAGACAAGCAGGCAGGTAGGCAGATAAACAGGTGAGTACACTGGTAGACAAGCAGGCAGGTAGGCAGATAAACAGGTGAGTACACTGGTAGACAAGCAGGCAGACAGGCAGGTAGGCAGATAAACAGGTGATTACACTGGTAGACAGGCAGGCAGGTAGGCAGATAAACAGGTGAGTACACTGGTAGACAGGCAGGCAGGTAAGCAGATAAACAGGTGAGTACACAGATAGACAAGCAGGCAGGTGGGCAGATAAACAGGTGAGTACACTGGTAGACAAGCAGGCAGACAGGCAGGTAGGCAGATAAACAGGTGATTACACTGGTAGACAGGCAGGCAGGTAGGCAGATAAACAGGTGAGTACACTGGTAGACAGGCAGGCAGGTAGGCAGATAAACAGGTGAGTACACAGATAGACAAGCAGGCAGGTGGGCAGATAAACAGGTGAGTTCACTGGTAGATAAGCAGGCAGTCAGACAGGCAGGTAGGCAGATAAACAGGTGAGTGCACTGGTAGATAAGCAGGCAGTCAGAAAGGCAGGTAGGCAGATAAACAGGTGAGTGCAATGATAGATAAGCAGGCAGTCAGACAGGTAGGTAGGCAGATAAACAGGTGAGTGCACTGGTAGACAAGCAGGCAGACAGGCAGGTAGGCAGATAAACAGGTGAGTGCACTGGTAGATAAGCAGGCAGTCAGACAGGCAGGTAGGCAGATAAACAGGTGAGTGCACTGGTAGATAAGCAGGCAGTCAGACAGGTAGGTAGGCAGATAAACAGGTGAGTGCACTGGTAGACAAGCAGGCAGGTAGGCAGATAAACAGGTGAGTGCACTGGTAGATAAGCAGGTAGTCAGACAGGTAGGTAGGCAATCAAACTAGGATATTTTTTCTCCATGATGCTATTACAGCAGATGTGAAAAACAAAACCATAACCAAAAAATTTGTCATTCAGTGGCTATGACAGTAAAGTAAAGGGCCTGTGTCCATATATGTGAGTGGATTTGGGGGACTACGACCCGTAACTGTTTTAGATCAACTGAAGCTTGAGTCTCAATAACAGCACAGTGGCTAGAAGCTCGCCTGTTGGCTCGATTGTTCAGAGTTAAAATCAGCACTAGGCGGATTTAAAGATAGAAAAAAAAAAGGTAACCTTGGATCCCAGGTTGATTCAGTCTACAAGTGATACCAGGAGATATTCTGGGAAGTAAAGGCAGCCAAATCATAGTGGGCCAGCTGGTGTGAAAAAGGTCCTTTTTTCAACTATATTAGCACTTGATGGCTGAGCTGGTCATTATCACAGTAGCCTTATTACTGAACTCTCAGTCCCAGGGGGTTTAGCATCAGAGGCCCAAGAGGTTATACAGAAAAACGTATAATCGGCGCATCTTCATTGGGCTTCTAGGTAGGAACCTAGGAACGTATGATGAGTTCCTTGGGACTGAAAGACTTAGAGCATTCCCTTGAATATTTACACTCACTCAACTTGGGACGCAAGATGTATTTGCTTTTTTTTTTCTCTCTACAATCTTTGCCTTCATGGGGATTTTACCATCAGACCAGCAGAAAAAACATGAACATGTTTGGAACAACACATGCTGCAGAAGCTTTCAGATCAGATTAGCGGTGCTCTCTGTCTGTCCGCATCAGAGCTTTTCTCCTAGACCATTTGCCAACCTAGGCTAAGGGCCTGGTCTGCCGTAGCAGAACTTTTTTTTTTAAAGTTTTTATGGTGTGTTTCATATTCCTGGGACAAGGCTAGGGATAAGGCTAGTGTCTTCTCCACCTCAAGCCACTGTCACAATGTGGGGGTGGAATGTCAGGTTTTTATCCTAAACATGGAATTACAAACACTCACCCTTTGGGCATTTTAGATGTCTCCTCCCACTGTTTTATCCGGGCAATGTACAAGGTGCTGGAGAAATCTTCAGATCTTTCAAAGAAATCTGGAAATTAGACACATCTATTTGCTGCTTTTTCCTGAATCTTATCCTCAATAATAATAATAGCAATAGATCAGAGAAGCAGATCATAAAATGATCTGGATGTTTAGTCACAATGCAATGATACGAGTTACCAATGATATGGGTTACCAATGATACGAGTTACCAATGATACGAGTTACCAATGATACGAGTTACCAATGATACGAGTTACCAATGATACGAGTTACCAATGATACGAGTTACCAATGATACGAGTTACTACCAATGATACGAGTTACCAACAAAGGCAAGTGCAGATCCAAGAAGATACCTTGGACATGAAAGACACTATATTCAAGGATCTTCTTAGTGTTTACCAGCCAAAACGGTGTGCATCTGGAACTAACAGTCTGCATGCAAATAAGCCAGATCTGTAAAACAGATGTGCAAGCAGACGAACAACCAGAACTTTCCACCAGAGTTTACAGCTGGTGAAAAACAGATTAGAAAACAATAAGTGATATCGTTGTGCCATATAACATGGAAGCCATCAAACAGTATACCACAGCAGGCAAGGATGTACAGACCCCGCTGGAAGCGAAGAAGAGGCTAGCCACGCAGTGAATAGAGGGAATAACAGAGTCCCTGCGAATGACCATTTACAGAGCACACAAACGGGCACTTTGCTGTAAATTATACTTCACCTCGACACCGTAAGTGCAAGAGGAACAAGATGAGATGAGACGAGGAGATTCCTAATTCTCCTGATTTTCTTCGCTCATGGAACAGTACATTGGAATACTTCCACATACTTTTTAGGGAGTAGTGGGTCTTTTTCCCCCCAAAATGCCCTCCCCCCCCCCCCCCCCCCCCCCCCCCCCCCCCCCCCCCCCCCACACCCCCTTTCCATGGTACCCAAACAGAGAAAGGATCAATCATTGAGCTACCTGAGATCAAAGAGAGGGTGATAGTCTGGACACATGGTATCAGAAACATCTGTATATGGAATCTTCTCTACTTAAGAGTCACCAGCTATAAACTTGTCAGAAAATTATGGCTGTTCATCTTTTTTTGGACTTTAGTCTTGTTCCAGAACCCAATTTTGTTGCATTTTGGGATCTCTGAAAAATATTGCTCTCCTTTGTGGCAGTGACTATACTGATCGTTGACCTAACCCACTATTTCTGCCCATTGTCAGGGACTTGAGATAATGACCTAACAAAGATCTGTTGGCTGCTCCTAAAGTGTAATCCACCAGCTCCCATAGTTTTGTGTTACACTGATAAATGAACTAAACAGGTAGTCCATCTCGCCCAAGGGTGTCCCGCAAAGGTTGGATGGATGGGGGTTCTTTGATAGGGGATACCCATTCCATAATGGACAGTTCACAAGACAGAAGACATAATGATTATAATGAACTTACTGCTATTAAAAATAAATGTTTTTCTTCCGAGTTCAGCCTTAAAAAGGCAGGGGGCATGATGTAGATTACATCTAGGCTGTTATATCTGCATTTTTTTGCCCAAAACATCTGATTTCAGAAAATTCCTAATTAGCCATCTTTTATAACTATAGGTAGGGGGCTGGGTGGTCTTGAGGCAAAGTGTACGCCTTGAGTGCTAGAGGTTCCAGGTTCAATCCCCGGTAAGAGCTGGAATTTTGTCACGTAGACTTGGACTTCTAGTAATTCCCCCTGGTCTCTGGGTAGTGAGATTGGATGCCCATGTGCATTGTTGAGCGCATAAAAAATCCCTTAGCCATTGGAAATTGAAAAGAGTAGCTTAACGGCGCTGCCCGGGCAAAATTTGGAAGTTAAAAATCTACCCAATGTATTTCAGGATCCTCGTCAGTGCTACAGAACCTGTGCAATGTGCTGGGCTTCTTCGGACAGACTCGAGTTAGAAGAAGAACAGAGCACTTATGGGTTACATCCCTGTGCTGGATGTTGATCCGTTGTTCAAAACCTCAAAACCTATAACTATAGTTCTATTCTTTCTGCCCCGCAAAATGGGGTCAAAGAATTCTCACAGCGGAAACAATTTTAACATAATTGTAAAAGATTTTTAAAACAACAGAAACGTACTTTTAGGGCACTCAGACATGGGAATCATAATCCTGGGAACTCGACTGTCGCATGGAGAAAACAAGGCATGAGATCTGTTTCTGTTTGGCATAAGTTTGAGGCGTCCGCTGGCCGCCCGCGAATGTTTCTTTTCTGCTATGTAAACAACCTGAACAAACAAGAAAGAAAAAAACCAATACATGCATATATGAACATAAATGTCTGTGTGTGTGTGTCTACAGATCTATGAAACTGATTTTTCATTTTGATATAATAGCGCTTCAAATGAAAACCTTAAAACGCTTGAATAATAATAACCAGGCCACTGTCTTGTGATCAATCAAAATTGTTGTTAAGGAAACCAAGAGTGTAAAGCATGTGATATCAAGGTGTAGACGAACAGTGATGTCATAAAGACAGTTAAAAGAGGGCCACCCCACTTTTTCATGCACCAAGTAAAGTATAATAAAGGAACCTTTTTATGCCAGAATCACCCAGAGGGAGATGAAGTCGTTCATATAGATGGATGGTTTTTTTTTTTTTTGACACAGGAACTAATCTGCTGTTACAGCTCAGGTGGAGGGGGGAGGGGGGGGGGGTTTACAAAAAGAATGCAGTATCTCAACTTAGCAGGTAATCTGACCACAGGGGTTATGGCAACAACTAAAGAAATGGCCTGGCTAGAGACACTTGGTAATTCACATGCCTTCTTTGCTCACTTTAAAAGGGTGGTTGGCATGGGGGTTTTTTTTTTACAGCTAGGCTGCAATATCGCCTATTTGCCTAACACAACATTTCAGCAAAACCCTAAAAGGTCATCTTGTATGATGTGCAACAACTAAAGACATTGCCTGGATGGAGAGGCAGATAATTCACATGGGCATGCCTTGTCATTGACTCAATGAGTTTGTTCAAAAGGACAGACTGGTTAAGCTTTTGGTTGCAATCATGTTTAAGTACCTCACATAATGTAGCCTCCAACTTACACCACACCACCTTCTCGCTCGCAGGTGGAAACCTGATTCTGGAACGCACTTCTTCAGAAATCATCAAAGGTGCTCCTCCACAGTTGACGTCATGGGCCTCTCCGGGCGAGTGGGGTTCACCCAGCCCGTCGTTCCCTGACGACTCAGAAACTACCACAGGAGTAGTAGTTTTGCGACGGCCTTTACTGCGTGGAGCACCCTCGCATTTCATTCTTCCGGCATGCGTTCTCAGACCATGCAACCCCGTGAAGCTTTTCCCACATGTACAGAGCCAGCCCGGACGTTGGGCGAGTATCTGAGTCTGGGGGCTAGCATAGTCGTCACCGAGAGTATCAATTGGATTGGGCCCTTCATTCTCCCCCCCCCCCCCCTTTCGGAGGGCCCTGGGGGCATATTTCTATGTGGTTGTACGAAATCGGAGGTATTATACTGTGTTAGGGGTGATCAACCCGGTCCACAGTCGACATCTGTCTCCAGATGTCAGTTTATCCCCCCCCCCCCCCCTGGCGATACCGGGGGGGCCAGTCTTTCCATAGGTGTCACAAGGTCTTTCCCGAGAGTCACCAGTCTTTCCTGGTAGTCTTGTGGGCTAGCCACGTACAATAGGAATAAACTCACAGGGAGCAAGTACAGCAGGGATCTACCAGTCATCAGTAGAAATTATCCTCGTCAACGAGCGTTTCGGCCCACTATTCCTAGACGCTTTCGGAGGTGGGCCCACCTGACTTCATGAAGCTCAGGGCTGGTTCCCTGCTGCATGAAATTACTGGATGGTGTTTTTCTTTCGGCCAGAGACAAGACGACTTGGTGGTTTCGCAGAAGGTACTGTGAGAAAAGAAGTCGTTGCGGCAGCCTAATTAGAACAGTCAGCGTGCCTGGACGACCGAGAGACAAGCTTACGATTGGTTTACCGGACACATGTTGAACTTTGGTTAGCAGGTGGCAGAGGAACACTGGCAGACAATTCGGACACGATGGACTTTCAAAGGGTGAGAAACCCTTTTCCACTAGAGACCCGGACCAGCATTCGCTCCATCTGTGCTAGACTCTGCGAGGGACTGGTTACTGGCGGTTGATCTGCTGGGCCATGAAAGGTACCCCGAGTTGATTCGGAAGACCGGCCTGCGACCGGACATAGTTCTCCACTCTGAGCAAAAACGGCAGCTCATCCTGATTGAGCTGACTGTCCCATATGAGTCGCGTATGGAGGAGAATCACATGTATAATCTTGAGAAATACAGTGATTTAGCAGCCGGTCTGAGGAGAAACGAGGCGTACACAGTACGGGTCTTTGCCGTCGAAGTGGGAGCGAGAGGCCTCGTTTCCACTTCGTTGTACAATGTGGTTAAATAACTAGGATTGCGCGGTAATGAACGGAAACGAACACTCAAAAAACTTGGAGAGGTAGCTGAAAGGGCCTCTAGCTGGCTTTGGACGCAACGCAACAACGTAGGGGACGGGCCTCGGTGAGCTGGTCCGGGTCTCTAGTGGAAAAGGGTTTCTCACCCTTTGAAAGTCCATCGTGTCCGAATTGTCTGCCAGTGTTCCTCTGCCACCTGCTAACCAAAGTTCAACATGTGTCCGATAAACCAATCGTAAGCTTGTCGCTCGGTCGTCCAGGCACGCTGACTGTTCTAATTAGGCTGCCGCAACGACTTCTTATCTCACAGTACCTTCTGCGAAACCACCAAGTCGTCTTGTCTCTGGCCGAAAGAAAAACACCATCTGGTAATTTCGTGCAGCAGGGAACCAGCCCTGAGCTTCATAAACTCAGGTGGGCCCACCTCCGAAAGCGTCTAGGAATAGTGGGCCGAAACGCTTGTTGACGAGGATAATTTCTACTGACGACTGGTAGATCCCTGCTGTACTTGCTCCCTGTGAGTTTATTCCTATTTGGTTGGAGTCTCTGAGGTGGGTGCTACTACTACTTTGCCCTTTATTCCCCAGTGGAACATTAACCCTAAACCCCAACACATACATAGGTACCCTATCTTTTGCTATAACATACAGCTCAGCCCCATGTCTTCCCCATCTTTTAAAATTTAATCCATAACACCCTTTGTGACTTTATTTATATGACGTGTGGTTTCCAGTGTATAGACAATCTAGTCACTGAGGAAGCTACAGACAAATAAAATTATGAAAATTTTAGTGCCAGTATATGTGGGTATAGGAGAAAACTAACAAGCTTATAAGCTACTAGCATTACAAGTCACCTACACCAGACCAGAGATTATACTTTGTAACCGTTTTGTAGTGCCCCAATATACATGCTGTACGGGTGAATAGGGTTTCCCAGATTGGCACCAATCTGATTCTCATCCTTGAGATGTTAATTCTACAGATAGCAATCCTGAAAGGAAACAAAAGTAAGGCGGGGGCCTACTCGACTTGAGTACTGTGGAAATCGGAATAGGCATGAAGGAATAATTTGGAACAAAAACAGTGAGCTGCCGGAGGTGGCAAAATGTAGAGTAGCTTGACATGAGTTGGCTGCGGTCTTTTCTCCAAAGGTAGATTAAAAGTGGTGGCAAAATGTAGAGTAGCTTGACATGAGTTGGCTGTCATCTTTTCTCCAAAGGTAGATTAAAGGTGGTGGCAAAATGTAGAGTGGCTTGACATGAGTTGGCTGTCATCTTTTCTCCAAAGTTAGAATAAAGGTGGTGGCAAAATGTAGAGTGGCTTGACATGAGTTGTCTGTCATCTTTTCTCCAAAGGTAGATTAAAGGTGGTGGCAAAATGTAGAGTGGCTTGACATGAGTTGGCTGTCATCTTTTCTCCAAAGGTAGATTAAAGGTGGTGGCAAAATGTAGAGTGGCTTGACATGGCTGTCATCTTTTCTCCAAAGGTAGATTAAAGGTGGTGGCAAAATGTAGAGTGGCTTGACATGAGTTGGCTGTCATCTTTTCTCCAAAGGTAGATTAAAGGTGGTGGCAAAATGTAGAGTGGCTTGACATGAGTTGGCTGTCATCTTTTCACCAAAGGTAGATTAAAGGTGGTGGCAAAATGTAGAGTGGCTTGACATGAGTTGGCTGCCGTCTTTTCTCCAAAGGTAGATTAAAGGAGGTGGCAAAATGTAGAGTAGCTTGACATGAGTTGGCTGTCATCTTTTCTCCAAAGGTAGATTAAAGGTGGTGGCAAAATGTAGAGTAGCTTGACATGAGTTGGCTGTCATCTTTTCTCCAAAGGTAGATTAAAGGTGGTGGCAAAATGTAGAGTAGCTTGACATGAGTTGGCTGCTGTCTTTTCTCCAAAGGTAGATTAAAGGTGGTGGCAAAATGTAGAGTAGCTTGACATGAGTTGGCTGTCATCTTTTCTCTAAAGTTAGATTAAAGGTGGTGGCAAAATGTAGAGTGGCTTGACATGAGTTGGCTGTCATCTTTTCACCAAAGGTAGATTAAAGGTGGTGGCAAAATGTAGAGTGGCTTGACATGAGTTGGCTGCCGTCTTTTCTCCAAAGGTAGATTAAAGGAGGTGGCAAAATGTAGAGTAGCTTGACATGAGTTGGCTGTCATCTTTTCTCCAAAGGTAGATTAAAGGTGGTGGCAAAATGTAGAGTAGCTTGACATGAGTTGGCTGTCATCTTTTCTCCAAAGGTAGATTAAAGGTGGTGGCAAAATGTAGAGTAGCTTGACATGAGTTGGCTGCTGTCTTTTCTCCAAAGGTAGATTAAAGGTGGTGGCAAAATGTAGAGTAGCTTGACATGAGTTGGCTGTCATCTTTTCTCTAAAGTTAGATTAAAGGTGGTGGCAAAATGTAGAGTAGCTTGACATGAGTTGGCTGCCGTCTTTTCTCCAAAGGTAGATTAAAAGAGGTGGCAGGGAGTAGGATAATGAAGGCAAGGATGATGATAACAGATGGGGGGGGGGAGAGAAGCAGCAGCAGAGGAAGTAGGTGGTCAAGGAGGTGAGGAATCATGGAGTAGAGGTGAGGAAGATATAAAGGGTGGAGAAGCAGCGAGGAGGAGAAGAAAATAATAAAGTCCTGAACAGTGGTTGAAGAAGAATGAGAGCAGGTGATGAATGGTTGAGGACTGTTGAAGAGAAGATAGTGGAATCAACCCCAGTATTTTCTGGTTGTTTGTGATTTCACCATGCAATGTTATGATCAGTAGTCTGCCATTCCTCTGAACGGTCGAGCTCTTGATACCACAGTCAAAACCAATGCAAGATTATCTCCTGCCAAACTGCCCACATCCAACCCGACACCCTGGAATTACAAAGCCTGTTTTCAACACCCAAGCCACAGAAACACCGACTACACAAGAAAGATGGCAAACAAAAAAACAATTCAATGAGCATACCTTGCCTTTAGGCTGCACAAACTTTCCACCGCTGACATCACCTACAGATGCGTGACCTTCCTTTCCTCCGCAGAACAAATTTCTGGCCAAGGGGCTGCCATTCTCCATCATGTACGATATAGAAGCAAATTTCTGTAATGGCGTGGCTGGTGACTTGTCAATGTTTTCTGGAGCACTTTTCACTTTCTGGAGACTTCCTTCTGGCTTGAGTGCGGCCTGGCTCAATTTGTCCGGGCTGGAAGATTTTTGTGATTTGTCTGGAGTGTTTTCAGGAGGGACTGTTGAAATATTTAAAGATATATATTTTTTTTTTTTAACTATACTGGGGCAAAAAAGGGAAGCAAGCTATGGGTAGACTGTAATAAAGTAATACAAATGGATTAAGATATGAATGAACAGCAGACATGGTCTGCAACCAAGGCATACACATGCGGCAAAACCTGCAGATAAGACAGCAATGGGTAGAGAGCGATCTAAAGTAAAGTAAGTAAAGATCCCTTATTACGCCTAAGGCACATCGGATATATGGACAGAGCTTCCCATATTTTTACAGACCAATCGGCACTGGATGGGTAATGTGGTCAGCATTATGCTGAGACAGCGATATAAGCTGAAGGATAACATCAAGATGTGTATGAACAGCAGTTTTGAGGTATAACCAAGGCAAGACTTAAAAGTAAGACAGCAATAGGTAGTCAGTGACACAGATAGGAAGATAAAAAGATATGCATTAGCAGCAGACTCAGAATGTACAACCAAAGCACAATGGAGGCAAAACTTGAAGGTTATAGAACAATGGGTAGACAGCAATACAAATGGGGAGATGCCATCAAGATATGAACAAACTGCAGTCACACAGACTGTACAGCCAGAGCAAGAGAGAGCTTACAGATGTGAGGAGACACTTTAAAAAGTGAGATAACACTTCTATATTTAAAAATAAAGATACTTTATTTCTTAATGTTCACCAGCTGTAATTTACTGCGGAAAGTTCTGGATGTTCATCCACTTCTGGACTTTGGTTTTGTTCCAGAACTTGAGTATTGTGTGCACATCTGTTTTACAGACTAGGCTTATACATGTACAGACTGTTAGTTCCTCATTGGTGGAAGAGACAATTGCCTCTTCTTATAGTCCCTGCTGTTAGGCGTTGGTAGTCATGTCTATCCACAACCTTCTGTCTCAAGTACCTTCAATTCTGATACAGATGATCTATACCATGATTTGACCAAAACATGGTACTACAGGCAGTAAGTAAAGTAAAAGTCCCTTTACCCACCAGTAGTGCACAGGGCATATGATGCCAGACTCATATTTTTAAAGACCAACCGGCCCTCAATAGATTATGTGGTCAACATCGCGCGACCGCCTTTACTTCCCAGGACTTCACCTGATACCCATTTAACCCTTTGGAGATGGAGCTTATTTTGGAGTTTCAATGCCAAAAAGATGAAGGAAGACAAGGAAGAATTCTTAGTTTATACACCAAAAAAAACAATAAATACAGCGCTTATTTAACAAAATCAAAACTTTATATATATATATATATATATATATATATATATATATATATATATATATATATATATATATATATATATATATATATATATATATATATATATATTTTTTTTTTTTTTTTTTTTTTTTTTTTTTTTTTTTTTTTTTTTTTTTTTTTCTGGGAGAAAAATGAATGAACTAACAGAATATGTATGAATCAAACTGAAATCTCAACACTTATTCAAACTAACTATTATGATTTGCAAAATTTATGCAGGCATGTTTTTTTTTAAACTTGGGATCAAACATGGCTAACCTAAAAATTTGTGTGAATTTTGTGTGTGTGGATGAAGCCTGAATAAGTCCTAAGACTTGTGTTCTGGGGAAATGGAGGCCGTTCAGAAACTTCTGACACATGGTTCTACTCATTTTCATGCCTTCTGCTTTGTTTCGGGTGATATGACGAAACAGGCTTTTTCTCTGTTGGATACAGGTAAGCCCACAAAAATATTGCTGTAAAATTGAAGAACATATCAAACTTTCTCAAAAGCCGTCATTAAACAGGCCACATGTGCAATAAATGCGAAAAGCAATCTGACTGGCTGGTACAAAAACCTGCCAGCCAATCTCAAGGCTTTTATTACACAGGGCTGACCGATTGACCCAGCCGTCCTTCTGGCCACTTTGCTTTGGGCCGATATTTCAGCCACATTGTCTCCAGAGGGTTAAGGCTGGGTCGACCTGAAAGCTAATGTCATGTTTGAAAAAATCTGGCTCTGTGCTGATTTAATCCATGACCTTCGGACTTCGCAAGTAAGCATCTAGCCGCAACACCATAGTGGCTCCCACTATAGGTAGTAAGGTTATTTTTTTTTTTTTTTTTTAACACACAGAAGAGTAAACATTACAAACATTTTCAAATGATGGGCAAATATTTACCTTTTGAAAGATGTAAACCCTTAACGGCTTGATTTAAGTTATTCACAGCCCCTTTTGCTTCATTATCACTGTCTGAATCAAATATGACATCTGGGCCGGAGTCCTCGTCTGACTCATTTGTGTTGCTAGGTTTGACACCATTGACTTTGTCCAGACTCTCCAAGCTACTGGCAGAAACTGTTCTCTCAAAATGCTCAAAATCCTCAACAAAAACCTGAAATTTTTTTTTATGTGGTTAAAAGAGAGCAATTTCATCCCATCTGGTTCAGTCTGTTTCTATAGAAACCTGAAATTGTGTGTGGGGGGGGGGGGGGGGGGGGGGGGGGGGGGGGGGGGGGGGGGGGGGGGGGGGGGGGGGGGGGGGGGGGGGGGGGGGAGGGAGGGAAAGGAGGTATATAAAGTAGAGAGGACTGATTTAATTGCACTGGTGTCTATTCTATCGAGTTCAGTCTCTCTCCATAAAAACCTGAAAAGTTAATGGAAAAAATATATTAAGTAGAGAGGATTTATTTAATTGCACTGGCTTTTATCCCATCCGGCTCGGTCTCTCTCCATAAAAACCTGAAATGTGAATGAAAAAATATATAAAGTAGAGAGGATTGATTTAATTGCACTGGTTTCTATCCCATCTGGCTCGGTCTCTTTCTGCAAATAAACATTACAAAAGGTGTTATAGAATAGAACTGACTTCACTGTACTGGGTTTTTATCCCACCTGGCTCAGTCTCTCCACACAAGTACCTTAAAAAGTTACAGAAAGGTCAGCTGTAATTTCATTGCCCTGGGTTTATCCTTATATGGCTCTATCTCTCCCAATGAACCCCTGAAAAGGTGTTTTGAGGTTAGAGGATCAACTTCATCAGGTTTTATCCCATCTGCCCCTGTCTCATTCTGCAAACAAGATTTATCCCTGCAGATTTCTTCTTCTTACAGCGTTCGTCGGCTGGTAAACTCCAGCAGAAAGTTCTGGTTTTCATCCACTTCTGGACTTTTGGTATTGATCCAGAACTTCAGTTTTGCGAGCACATCCCGTTTACAGATCTGGGTTATTTTTATGCAGAGTGCTGGTTCCTTGCCTCTCAGGTAGATGTAGTCTCACTTTGAAGAAAACACCCCTAATGGGTCTATACTTTGCTCTTCAAAATGAAATTCTTGAATCCACATGGGAAAACTGCAGAAATGTAGATCATGCTGCTAGATACTTGCAGAAAATGTCTTTAGTAAAACACCATAAGTAAAACACCATAAAGAAACAAATAGGACAGAAATATGACAGTAACATCATCATAATTAACATAGTCCCATAACATCAAGTATTACATCAGTTACTGTTCCTGCCTGGTTGGCTCCCTCCACAATGAACTTGATATGTCTGCATGTCTGAGGCCTGTCCATTCTGATAAATTTTGTATCCAGGTCTTTCCTGATCTGCCTCTTCACCTCTTACCCTCTACAATACCCTATAGCAGAGGTTCTCAAACTGCCGCGGCAGTAATAAAGAGTTTTCCCAAATCTGCTTGAGATCAGCAAAGACAACAGTTTAAAACAGAAATACAGTGAAGGAAAGCAAAACGAGTTCTGGATGCAAGTGAATTCAAAAGATAATGCTATTGGTAAGGCTTCTGTAAATTCTCAACGTATGCCTAAAAAAAAAAACAAGATACAGGAGCAAACTTTCTGGGTCAAGTGATTCGAGAGTTAAATTAACCAAACTTCCCATAAACATCAAGGAAATAATGAAAAATTCACCCAAATATTTTTCATTCATCACATTAAAGACAACTAAACATTAAATGTACAGTGTTTTTTTCTTCTTTCCTAAGTAGTGAAACCGCTCTAAGGGTGGGACTTTGTGCCCGACAAGGGTGCCACGGTGAAAAAAAAAGTTTTGAGAACGGCTGCTCTATAGTATCGTTTTAGAGAAGCCGGCAGATCTTTTTACATGTTGTTACCATTACATTTTCTGTCTGTTGACTGTTATTAAAAGTAAAGATGTTCACAGCTACCAAAGTATTAAGCGATATGTTGAATATTTAAACATTAAAGAATAATAACTAGGACAGCAGCACTTCAAGTAACTAGGACATTTAAAGTAGCTAGGACGGCAACATTTAAAGTAATAACTAGGACAGCAACACTTCAAATAACCTGGACAACATTTAAAGAAGCTAGGAAGACAAAATATTTTTTTAATAAAAGTAGCTAGGACGACAACATTAAAAGAAGCTAGGACGGCAACATTTAGAATAATAACTAGGACAGCAACACTTCAAGTGGCTAGGACAACATTTAAAGTAGCTAGGATGACAACATTTAAAGTAGCTAGGACGGCAACATTTTAAGTAATAACTTGGACAGCAACACTTCAAGTAACTAGGACACCATTCAAAGTAGCTAGGACGACAACATTCAAAGTAGCTAGGACGACAACATTCAAAGTAGCTAGGACGACAAAATTTAGAATAACTAGGACAGCAGCACTACAAGCAACTAGGAAAACATTTAAAGTAGGTAGAGCGACAACATTTAAAGTAGCTAGGACGACAACATTTAAAGTAGCTAGGACGACAACATTTAAAGTAGCTAGGACGACAACATTTAAAGTAGCTAGGACAACAACATTTAAAGTAGCTAGGACGACAACATTTAAAGTAGCTAGGACAACAACATTTAAAGTAGCTAGGACGACAACATTTAAAGTAGCTAGGACGACAACATTTAAAATAGCTAGGACGACAACATTTAGAATAATAACTAGGACAGCAGCACTACAAGTACCTAGGACAACATTTAAAGAAGCTAGGATGGCACTATTCAGAGTAATACAAGGTCCGACAATTAAGTAATGAGACTGATTTTGATTATGGCCAAGACAAAAGTGCCATATATAAAGCAAAGCATGGAATCTAAAGAGACAACATTCATCAATGACCTGGCAACTTTTCATCGCCACTCAATAAGCAGACAACAAACAAGCCGAAATTTTGTTGACCTAGTCAGAGATGCATTGTTACGTTATCAGCATGGAGCAAAAAGCTAACATTTAATTCTTTTTAAAACTCAGAAAAAGTGCAATTGAAACAGTTGAAATCATTCAACAAGTTTATGGGGATAATTGTTTATATCATGCACAAATTTTCAGGTGGTATTCACGATTCAAAAGTGGTGTAGAAATTATTACTAATGCACCTAGACCTGGACGCCCAATTTCTGTTCGTAATGATGAACTCATTGCAAAAGTAAGAGAACGGATACAAGAAGATCATTGTTTTACTGTTAAGATGATGGAAGATGAATCTGGTGATAATAGAGAGACCATTTATAAAATTTTAGTGCAAGATTTTGGCAAGAAAAAAGTTGCTTGCCGGTTTGTACCACATTCATTGTTTGATGACCAAAAATTTCAGCGGGTTGAGTATCCAAGAGACATCATCAAAACAAGAATTTCTGGCAAAAAAAACAAGTATGTTTTCTCAGCCTTCTACCCTATTTCCCAGGTTTGTCTCCCTGTAATTATTTTATATTCCCAAAATTAAAGTTTCGATTAAATGGACCATTTTTTTTTTAATTTTGATGACACCCAGAGGGTCGTAACATCGACTTTAAGGGTCATAACAACAGAAGAACTACAGAGGTCGTTCCAGTGTTAGTTAGATCGTGCCACTTGCTGTATTCATACACAAGGGGCTTACTTTGAATAAAATACAGGTTATATCTTCAACTGTTGATTATTTTAATTTTTATGGAATTAGTCTCAATTAATTGTCTGATCTTGTAACTAGGACATTTAAAGTAGCTCCCCGTGTGGGTTCCAGGGCCCCATTATGGGGAAAACAAGAATAGACCGACTGCCTACCCAAAAGCATGTTGTAAGAGTCGACTAATTGGGGAGCTTCCTTTGAAGTCGGAGTGCATCTGCCTGAGGGGCAAGGAACCAACAGTCTGCGTTCAAGTGAATCAGATCTGTAAAACTGATGCACACACAACACTCAGGTCCTGGAGCAGGACTGCAATTCAGAAGTGGACGAACAACCAGAATTTTCCGCCAGAGTTTACAGCTGGTGAACGCGAAGAAGAAGAAGATTTAAAGTAGCTATGACAACATTTAGAGTAATAACTAGGAAGCAGCACTTGCAGTAACTAGAACAACATTTAAAATAGCTAGGACGACAATATTTAGAGTAATAACTAGGGCAGTAGCACTGCAAGTAATAATTAAGACAGCAACATGTAAAGCAATAACCAGGACATGGAGAAGTATTGACTATGAGACTAAACAAATTGGGCAGGGAAAGGGGGAGGGGGTGTTCTGGTCATTAACAGAGTAACAAATCAAAATCTGCAGTTGGAACAGAATGAGTTGAAAAGAAAATCCTATACTCACTCTCCACTGGGAGTAGGGGTACAACTGAACAACAACTTCATCCGTATTGAGGGCTCTATTTCTGTCAGCCATTCCTTCAATGTAGACATCGCTCTTACCATCCTGAAATTACCAAAGGCAATGTACATATATATCACACAAGCAGAATAAATGGGTTAGCCGACAGATTCTCCCAATGCACATGGAACCATTCTATAGAATAAATGATACATGCAGCACTTGTACAATATAGAACAGATGCTAACCAAGGATACTGATATATGATACTGGCAGTTACTGTATATACACACCCAATGATACTGACAGTGCTCACGGACACCACCCAGGTCAGATCTGTTTTCTGCCCTGCCACACGATGGGCCTACAAAGCCGGTAGTGGTGCAATTGATTGCTACTACACAATAAATATTGAATACATATATCTTCTTCTTTCCTTGCGTTCACCAGCTGTAAACTCGGGCGAAATGTTCTGGTTGTTCATCCACTTTTGGGCTGCAGTCCTGTTCCAGAACCTGAGTGTTGCGTGTGCATCCGTTTTACATATCTGACTCATTTGTATGCAGACTGCTGGTTCCTTGCCTCTCAGGCAGATGCACGCCGACTTTGAAGGAATATACATACATAATATATGAGTCTTTTTACAGCAGAACATCTGGGAGGAAGGGGAGAGGAAGACCAAGAAAGAATGGATAAATGGCGTAGCCGAAACCTGCAAAAAGATGAACAAATCCATCACCCAAGCCACCTGAGAAGCGTAAGACAAATACAGACAACCACGAAACTGGGTTACAACTTGGTATCAGTGAGATGACAAAAGAAGAAAGAAGAAGACAGCACTCATATGTGTAGAACAAATGACACTGACAGTATTCACATATACAGAACAACAATACTCATTGCGATGACACATAAAACAAAGCTGAGTTGAGTCAAGAATTGACATCACAGCACTCGGGCATTCCCACATGTGCTCCGTCCTCATCTTCAACAGCCAGTGCAGAGTTCCAATACTGATAGTACCAGTCACAATCTGGTTATAGGTCCGTCTTGCCTTTTCTCTGAGTGTAGTGAGCCAGCCAGACCCTCTGGTTACACCCAGGTGCTCATTCTCTCCAGGCCATAATAATCTTGTTTTGCTACTGATTCCGTTGCTTGTTCCCAAAGGGCCTTGACCACATCTGCCTTGTCATGTATCAATTCACCACCCAATGGTGCAGATCCAGCCAATCTGTCTGCCTGTTCATTACCCACTAATGCCGGCGTGGCCTGGGGAAAAGATCCAAAGTATTCTCACTACCCGAGACCTTCCCAGTGGAGCTTGCCACTCTGCTCAAAGTATCCCTGTCTTCACCTTTCTCAGCATGCTTTCAGAGTCTGTTACAATTATGACATCTGTATGCATCTTGTTCTCTAGCCACCGGAGAGCTGCAGTTACCTTCCTTCTCTCTCTCTCTCTCTCTGTGTATGTGTGCGCACGTGTGTGTGTGTGTTGTGTGTGTAAAGCGAAAGACAGAGAGAGAGACAGAGAGACAGACAGACAGACAGACAGACAGAGAGGAGAGAGAGAGAGAGAGAGAGAGAGAGAGAGAGAGAGAGAATAGTGGCAGCACTCATGAATAATATAAAGGATCCTTCATCACTCCCATCTCCTAGCACAGAGACATGTTTCCTGTATTGTACCAAACAGATGTCTTTCACTTTTTCCAATGTTTGGTATGCAAAAGATCTGCATTATGGTTGGGAAGAGGTGGGAATGGCTTAACTAGCCCAGCTTTGTTGCTTTGATGTAGTAATGATGACTATCTAATTCATGGGTTTTATGAACTGTCTTTACATTTCTGATTTGTTTCGAGGTCTCTGCTGGCAAACGTCAAGGTCTTTAGACCCTCCTTAAATTTGTCATCGTCTTTTAAAGGCTTTGAGAGCCAAAGCTGTTTTCTTGAGAGCCAAAGCTGTTTTCTTGAGAGCCAAAGCTGTTTTCTTGAGAGCCAAAGCTGTTTTCTTGAGAGCCAAAGCTGTTTTCTTGAGAGCCAAAGCTGTTTTCTTGAGAGCCAAAGCTGTTTTCTTGAGAGCCAAAGCTGTTTTCTTGAGAGCCAAAGCTGTTTTCAACATTTTTCCAGGTTTCAAGAACCGCTACGAGCTGTGATATCTGTAGATCAAATTATTCTGACAGCCCTTGCACATACAGAAAAAAATAATACTGACAGCACCTACATATACAAAAGAAATGACACTGACAGCACTGGCACATATAGAACAAACAATACTGACAGCACCTACATATACAGAAGAAATGACACTGACAGCACAGATATACAGAACCAATGATGCTGACACTATTCACTTATACAGAACAAATGATACAAACATATACAGAACAAATGATACTGATGGTACTCACATATACAGAACAAATTATACTGACAGTACTCACATATACAGAGCAAATGACACACAGTACTCATATGTACAGAACAAATTACACTGACATCAACCATATATATAGAACAAATGATACAAACATATCCAAAATAAATGACACTGACAGCACTGACCTATACAGAACACATTATACTGACAGCACTACTATATACAGAATAAATTATACAAACGTATATACAAAAATTATATTGACAGCACTCGCATAAACAGAACAAATGATAATGATGGTACTCACATATACGGAACAAATGATACCAACATATACAGAACAAATGATATTGTCAGTACTCATATATACAGAACAAATGATACTGACATTACTCACATTACACAGAAAAAAATGATACTGACATACATAAAAATGACACTGACAGTACTCACATATACAGAACAAATTATACTGACAGCACACACATACATAGAACAATTAATAGTGAAAGCACTGATATACATAAAACAAATCATACTGAGAGCACGACAAATATAAAACAAATTATACTGACAGCAATAAAATACATAAAACAAACAATGAAAGCATTGACATACATAAAACAAATGATACTGACAGCACTGACATAAATAAAACAGATTATACTGTCAGCAATGACATACATAAAACAAATTATACTGACAGCAATGACACATACATAAAATTATACTGACAGCACTGACATACATAAAAATTATACTGACAGCACTGACATACATAAAAATTATACTGACAGCACTGATATACATAAAAATTATACTGACAGCACTGACATACATAAAACAAATGGTACTGACAGCACTGACATACATAAAACAAATGTTACCGACAGCACTGACATATATAAAAAAAATGATACTGACAGCACTGACATACATAAAACAAATGTTACCAACAGCACTGACATACATAAAACAAATGTTACCAACAGCACTGACATACATAAAACAAATATTACCAACAGCACTGACATATATGAAAAAAATGATACTGACATACATAAAACAAATGGTACTGACAGCACTGACATAAATAAAACAAATGTTACCGACAGCACTGACATACATAAAACAAATGTTACCAACAGCACTGACATACATAAAACAAATTATGCTGACAGCAATGACAGTCATACAAACCAATTATAGTGACAGCACTGGCATACATAAAACAAATAATACTGACAACACTGACATAATAAAACAAATGATTCTGACAGCATTCACATACACAGAAAACTTACTTTAGAAGGAACATAGGCATCTAAATAGTTTTTCGGATTAATCCTAATGGGGCCCTGCAAGAAACAGGTATTGACACATGTATACATGTACATCTGAGATCATAATTATTTCTATTTACAAGCATTAGTAAGTAAAGGTCCCTTTTCCACAGGTTTAAGGCGTACTGGGTAAATCGGGCTAGCCCTTCATTTTATAGACCAAACAGCACTTGGCGGGTGATGTGGTCAGCATCACACCGGCCGCCTTTACTTCCCCAGAATTACCTGGTACTCATTGAAGGCTGGATCAACCTGGGAGCCAAGGTAATTTTTGAAAAAAGTCCGGCCCCCATCAGGAAACAAACCCACGACCTTCTGATCCACAGGCGAGCGTCCAGCTACTAGACCACGGCAGCTCCACAAGAATTAGTGATCTATGAAAAAAAAATAAGGTGCCATGTCATGCTTTCTGACATATGGTGCTAGCCTTATGTTTGTATACATCAACTGGCATACAGCTAGTGATGTATGAAAACCTGTAAAAAGGCTTCATCTCTTTTAGTTGTGCTCCAAGTTTCAGAGCCACATAAAATGACTGGTCTTAACGTTTTATATATTTTGATCTTGATGTTGTGAGACAGAGACTGTGACTTTAGCAGATGTTGAAGGATACACTATACTTTATTTCCACATTGTATTTCTTCTCTCAGCATGTTGGCACAGTGATGTTTGCCCCCAAGTAGTTAAATGTTTCCATTCGTTTGGTTTCTGTATTATCGACTTGTATGTGGCCGGATGTTATATCTTTTCCCTGTTTTGTTATTATCACGTATTCTGTTTTATCTTCATTGATACCTAGTCCCATTTTGTGAGCTGCTTCTTTTAGGAGTTTGTTTTATTTTATTTTTAGTCTCTAATTTTCTACAATGATATAAATTTCATCAGCATAAACCAAGTATCCTTGTAGTTTCTCCTATAGCACATTCTTCTTTCAATTTCCTTTTGATTTTCTCTGTGCCTTTCCTATAAAAATACATCTCTAGTTTCACCATGGACAAGCACTTAGATGATCAGATTGCCTCTTCACTGTAATAAGATTGTCAACCTCAAGTTAACCCCTATTAGTTATCTCTTATATCCCTGTATGGGTTCCAGGGCAATATTATAAGGAAAACAAGAACAGACCCACTGCCTACCCAAAAGCATGTCACAAGAGTCGACCTAATGGGAGCTTACTTCGAAGTCAGAGAGCTTTTGCCTGAGAGGCAAGGAACCAGCAGTCTGCATACAAATGAGTCAGATCTGAAAATTGAATGCACGCGCAACACTCAGGTTCTGGAACAGGACTGCAGTCCAGAAGTGGATGAACAACCAGAACTTTCAGCCAGAGTTTACAGCTTGTGAACCCGAAGAAGAAGTTATCTCTTATGAAATGCTTGGCAGACTATAGTGACATTATATGTTTCCAGTACAAACACTCTTAATATGGACACAAAAAATCCTATAAAAATGTATTAAAAGGCTGCATGACCAACTCAGGACCGGGTCACCGGGTGCGTTAACACAGGTGTACTCAAACTGGGTGCTGAGGCACCCTGGGGTGCCGTGAGCGTGTGCCAGGGGTGTCGCGACTATAATCAAGAAAAGTCGGCTAAAAATTGTGACATTATTGAAGAAGGCATGTATATACTTAAAAGTTAAAATTTAAGTTGCTATGGTTGAAAAAAGTTTATTTCTCGTCTGAGAACCGTTAGGAACATGGCCCGTCGGCTAGAGTCGGTCCTGAGTTGGTCATGCAGCCTTTTAACACATTTTTATAGGGTTTTTGTCCATATTAAGAGGGTTTGTACTGGAGACATATAGTGTCACTATAGTCTGCCAAGCATGTCATAAGAGATAACTAATAGGGTTTAACTTGAGAATGATAATCTTATTACAGGGAAGAGGAAATCTGAGCATCTAGGCGCTTGTCCATGGTGAAATTAGAGATGTATTTTTTATAGGGAAGACAGAGAGAAAATCATTTGGAAATTGAAGAGTTCATGATCAACTTCACTACACACTTTAATGCCATATCATTTGGTCTCTCTCTCTCTCTCTCTCTGGACAGCTGCTGTTCACTCTTTCAGCATTGCACTAAGTCTGAAACTCTAGCTACAGAGACGCCTCCAGGGACCTCTGAAACATCTGGACTCAATAGCTGAACACCCATACTGAACCTACACCCTTCAGTGCATGAAGTAAACAGCCAAACCACTTTACCCTAAACAAATCTAACTCACCACAACCAATTCGCCTCTCTTTATTCCTGCACTAACGGCTTCAAGTGTCCAGTAGGGCTCAAAAATCTGTAATGAAAAATGTTAAAGACCAATTAAGTTGAATGGTTTACCAAACACATAATCTTCATGGACGAGTTATGTTGAAAAATTTACCGAACGTATAATTTTCATGGACCAATTATGTTGAATGATGGACCGAGCATATAATCTTTGCAAAAACAAATGTTTAATGATGCACTGAACATATAATCATCATGATTTAATTCGTTTTACTAATGCACTGAGCATACAAGAAAAAAGGAGAAAGATGCAGAGCACGAGGTAGACCAAAAACAAAATAGAAAGATAACATCAGAGAAACTGCAACAGCATGACGTATCTATGGTTGAGGTGGCCAAAAAACCCAGAAACAGAACTCTTAGTCTCCCTCGACTCCTGAAGCTGTAGAGGAAGTGAAGAAGAAGACTGAACATAGAAAATATAATCTTTGTGGACCAATATGTTTAATAATGTACTGAAAATATAATCTTCATGGATCAATTACATTTTAGCATGCACAAAAAATGTAACTTTCATGGAACAATTACATTTAATGATGCACTTACTGAAATGCTATAGAAAGATTCTCAGAATATCTATGACAAAGAAGAGGAGAAATACTGATATCTTAAAAGATCTGAACATCAATAAACAGCATCCTGTCTTGGATATTGACATATTTTGGTCATTTCAAGCGCCACAACGGATTGTAAAAAATAATAGAAGGCATGGTACCAGGAAGAAGGGGCAGGTGCCGACCAACGTGAAGATATGCAGAGGATTTAAGGGACTCCTTGAGTATGAAAGTGCACGAGGCGGGAGAGCTGGCGAGGGACTGCGTTTCTGTCAAGTAGACTGAGATGAGAGCGACATTCTGCAAAGGACCTGCTCCATGATGATGATGATGATGATGCGCTTAAAATATGATCTTCATAGACCCATTAAATTTCAGCATGTACAAAAAATGTAATCTTCAAGGACCAATTACATTTCAGCATACATACAAATGTTATCTTTATGGACCAAAATGTTATCTTTATGGACTAAAATATGATCTACATGGACCAGATTTATATTTAATGATGACCAGAATTATAATCTGAAGCACTGAAAATATAAGAATGGACAAACTACACTTAGTAATGCAGTGAAAAAAATAATCTTCATGATCCAATTATATTTAATGATACTGATGCTTCAAATTTGATCCGCATCCCAAACGATATATGCAAGAAATCATACATGCTTATCTGTCTGAATTTCAGTCAGGATTTGCTGCACAAGATCAGACAATATGGCAAACATCCAATTATTTCAAGAGGTGAATTTAGAAACTTTTACATTATATTATTATTACATTTACAAATGGCTAAATAGCTTAAACGCATGATGCCTAAGAAGAATTCTTGGCACTAAGTGGCAAGACAAGATCACAGATGTCGAGGTATAGGAAAGAACAGGTTTTACAACAGTTTTCTCAATGCTCAGTCTATGAAGGCTCAGGTGGCTGGGTCACAACTGGAGAATGGAGGATGGCAGAGACCCTAAGGACATCCTCCATGGTGAATTAAAGATGGGTAGAAGATGTCACAGCCTATCTCTACTACGATATAAAGATGTGTTCAAGCGCAACATGAATGATACAGGTAGTGAGATGGACTTGTGTGAACAAAATGCCATGGACCATGTTGTGTGGAGGGGGCACATCAAGGAGAGAATGAGAATGAAGGAAGAAATAACTGCAGAAAAGATGAAGGTTGAGCGTCTGGGAAGAAACACATTAAACAAAAATATTTACAACAATGGTCCTGAAATCTCATGCTATAATTGTGGAAGACTTTTCTTGACACGGGCGGGTCTTGCTAGTCACATTTGCCATCGCCATGGACTGAGTCTCATAGCTCCTCATAGCACAATATAACACTACCGTCTGGAAAGATAGACAGGTGCCAATCAATCAAAGAGGCGCAGCCCTTGTCAGACATCTAGAAAAAGGGCAACTGAACAGTGCAGGCAGGACAGAAAGACCCGTATAACAGGCCCTGTTTCCTGCCCTCATTGTCAGTATTTGGCTTTAAAGTCACCTTCGGACATAGACTACTACTACTACTACTTCTTTCGTTCGTTTGAAATATCTATATCTGCAGTGTTGTCTCTAGTATGAGCTTCACTGTCTTTTGTAATTCACTCAGCGACCGGTAAAGTTTGACTTGCAACGATATTTCTCTTGGCCAAAAGTTTTGCCTTGATATGTTGTATTTTGGACAGTCTTGGAGGACATGATCTGTTGTCTCAGGTGCCAATCCACATGTGCACATGTGCCAAATATATGATACTGAAGAGATTCAAGCCAAAGATGTGTGTTTTTTTTTCTCCAATGTAATTGTGTGTGAAATGTATAAACCCAGTGACTTAAGGAGTCATTATTCGGATGTGAATACAAATCCAAAAACAAATCCAAGAAGTCCTCTTCAGCCACATGAGAGTGAAACTGGGTTATGACGTAACTTTCTGTCCAATGTCGGTGATTTTGGATGCTATAACTTATAATAGCATGAGACAACTGAGGATTAAAGACAACTTACTATAATAGGTGCACATCATTAACAAGAATGCTGGAATTAGTGTAAACAATTAAAAGGACATAGAGCAATGTGATAAAATGCAGTAACAGGCCAACCAACTTTTTTTTTTAAACGTCCTTGAATCTAATGATCAGTTCTCTTATACACACTAACTACCAACACCTACCCTGGAACCTAATGATCAGCTCTCCTATACAAACTAACTACCAACACCTACCCTGGAACCTCATGATCAGCTCTCCTATACAAACTAACTACCAACACCTACCCTGGAACTTAATAATCAGTTCTCTTATACACACTAACTACCAACACCTACCCTGGAACCTCATGATCAGTTCTCTTATACACACTAACTACCAACACCTACCCTGGAACCTCATGATCAGTTCTCTTATACACACTAACTACCAACACCTACCCTGGAACCTCATGATCAGTTCTCTTATACACACTAACTACCAACACCTACCCTGGAACCTCATGATCAGTTCTCTTATACACACTAACTACCAACACCTACCCTGGAACTTAATAATCAGTTCTCTTATACAAACTAACTACCAACACCTACCCTGGAACCTAATAATCAGTTCTCTTATACACACTAACTACCAACACCTACCCTGGAACCTAATAATCAGCTCTCTTACACACACTACCTGCACCTACCCTGGCTGTCTGCTTCTGATGCTGTTGCTGCTGCTGTTGGTTTCGGCCTTTTCCTTGTTCCTTATTCTTTTTTGACTGTTGATCCTTGCCCGTGGCTTGCGAGTTCAGAGATCCGGCACCTTGGGGTTGTTGACTTTTGGACATTTTTGTATACTGTTATAAGCACTCTTTAAAAACACTGAAAATAGTTTCTATGGCATGTGCGTTCGGTGGATGCAGTTGGGATCTTTACTCCAATGATACCTGGGATCAAATATCAAATGTTTTTTTTTCATTGACTATAAATTAAACACATTAAAAGTATACGGTTAAGCACCGACAAAGATAAAGTTTAAAAAAAACTGATAATATGCGGGAAAACAAGAATGCGAGTCGTGAGTTATCTTAAAGTCCTTAAGGACAAAAATAGGGACCTTTAAGCTGAAATGCTATAGAAAGATCATCAGAATACCATGAACAAAAAAAAAAGACAATGACATACTAAAATATCTGAACATCAAGAAAGATTGGCAAGTAAACAGTACCTTGTCTTGGAACTGAAATATTCTGACAATATCAAGTTAACATTGGTTAAAATTCTGTGGGACAAAAATGTGTGTTTTTGTGTGTTTTTAAACATCAGTGTGTTCAAAAAAGGATGATCCTGCGACAGGTCCAGCAAGCCAGTAGGGAATTTATTTATTCACATGAAATTGCTCAAAAATTATGGTGGAATTTGAAGAAAAAGCATAATTCAGTTAGCGCTTACATCATATACACGACGAGCAAATTATTCCTCCCCACTACGCTTAATGGCATGAGTGGTTTATGATGATTATCAAGTGCCATGGCATAGTATACAAAACAGAAGGCACTGTATCAGGAAAAAGCAAAGGGCCGACCAGCACACAAATGGGTGCAGGCTTTTTTGACAATGTGGGCAGGAAAGTGCATGAGGCAAGAAAGCTGGCGAGGGATCGAGTTTCCTGTAGACCATCGTTAAACCGAGCAAAGTAAATAAACATTTCTGTCGTAACTATTTTTCTTCTGCCTTCTGAACAGTGTCAAGTTTGACACCGGTAGCACAGTGTTAAGAATACTGTATGTAACAGTGTTCCTTTAGTGTATATATTTATATACATAGCATTTCAAAACTGGTGCCATTTGGCCTACAATTTGATAAGCTTTTTGCATCTTTGTTGGATTTCTTTAATAATTCATCCGTCTTCTGAAAATAAAGAAATCCAAGAAAGGTGCAAATAAAGACCCAAACAAAAAAGTGAAAAATATTAACAAATCAAAGGCAACTAAAGCGTTCTTGGAATGAGACCTACCACTTCATTCTATAGACCCTTCAGCTGCAATTTCCAACAAACAACGAACAATTCTACAGGGTGTCCTGTAAGTGTTCATACGTAGGAAACATGACCACCATTGTTCTGAAAATATTTTAATGCGTCGTCCACTACTAAAGAACATGTTAGTTAGTCGACATATTATCCTCAATGCACGTCAAACCACTCAGCCCATAAGTGCTCGGATCCCCTCCTTAGTAAATCCAGCAGCGTGTAGATCTGTGTTGATTTATTATTATTGTTTAGCTACCCGTGTAGTGTTGTTGTTTGGTGAGACACCGCTTAGCTTGCTGTTCTTGCAGTTTGACCATGGTTGTGGATTCAGTTTTCAATTGGTCTAGGCAAACGTGTTAAATCTCGTAGATCATTCAGTATATCAGCCTGGTCCATGGCTTCTCCGGCTTTCACAGTAGCCTTACCTGCAAGTCTATCAGCTTGATCATTTTCTTGTACCCCCAAATTTGCTGGCAAGAAAATGAAAGTAATCCTCACTTATTGACTTACCCTCGTACTAACACATCCATGTGTGGGTTAATGGACCCTACTATTGAGAGAGAAAAAAAGGCTCTCCTCCGAACTTCTACCCCAGCGAAACAAATACCCTAACAGGGCCTCAGTCCTATGAAAAATGTATGACTTCCTGCGATGAACAAATCACTGCAAAACTATTATTACCTGTTAATTTCAAGAAACGCAACACTGCAGACGATAGTAGCAGACGATAATAGCGACTGCAGACGATAGCGACTTAATTTCGAGACATGCAACATTACACCGCGTAGCGGCGTGGGGGATACTGTCAGCGGTGAGGCATAGTCACAGAAACAGGTCCGCAATTAACATATCGCTGAGATCCTGTTACAGCATTTGTTTCATTATCCAGCGGATCCTAGTTTTGCCGCGATTTGTTCCTCGGCCGGAAGTCCTCATTTTTCAGGACTGCGGACCTGTTAGGGTGTTTGTTTGGCTGCTATATTGCCGGGGTAGAAGTTAGGAAGAGAGCCAAAAAGAAAATAGACCCACAACCTCCCTAACAAGCATGTAGTAAGAGTTGAATAATTAGGGTTTAAAGTCACAGTGCACGCCAAGAGGCATGACTCCATATCCCTGTCATATCCCCTGATGAACATGGGGGTGCAGCCTGGAGCCCCAAGAAATGAACATTTCACTAAGGGGACATGACGTTTCATTCACTAACCAACACAGAACAGGCGTCAAGCCGTTATACACTTGTGGAGCTGAATGTTGAATTTAAAATCGACATCGCAGCACTCGGGACACTACCATAGCCTAAGTGCTCAGTCCCCATCTTCAGCAGCAAGCTAAGAGTTCCAAATCCGATGGTACCAGTAACCGTCTGATTGTATATCCGTCCCTCTTTCCCTTGACTGCTGAGCATGAGCCAGATCCCCTGGTACACTTTGTGGAGCTTTTGAGGAGGAGATGAGAGTGCATGTGGATCTGCCCAGAGTTTTGTGATGATATTCCTTACTAATCACTTATGTATTATAATTAAGTACTGACTCACCGTATAATCTGCTGACAAAGATTAGATTTTTAAGTCCAGAATAAAACTAAAAGCAGTAGCAACTGCAACTGAAACTGATGATTTTCCTCGAATTTTATGGCACTGTTTCGCAATTAAGATGCAATCTTTTCAGCGAAAATCTTAGTCCAAGCAGGCGGATAAAGTTAAATTAAAATAAAGTTAAAATGTATTTAAAATCAACTAAAAAGTAAAACTATTCTTCCAAACGTTATCCCAATCAACAGCAGCTAATGAGCTATGCTATTGTGGAGCGCTTCAATTTAAAATTTCAAAAGCTGAGCTGAGAGTTCAGCCTGTATAAAAGTGTGGGCTGGATTTGAGTTCAACTCTGGGCTATTATGAAAGTGTGAACTGGGTGTGAGTTCAGGAGAATCGTGTCTAAAAGTGTGAGATGGGTCTGAGTTCAGCTCAGGCTGCGTTGATTCAGTTTCGTTTTCAAGCCCCCGTCTTTGGCCGGCGGTGTCAGGTCACTTCTTTCCAGTGTGCCAAATGTTTGTACACGTTCATTCTTATTCTTCTTTTTGGTTTTGTCTGTTTTTTTAACATATCATATTTTTTTATTGTGTTTGTAATTAAATATTTACTAATGGTAATATGTTACATAGAAATGAAATAGGTTTTTTGCTTAATTTATATTTCCGAAATTATATAAACGTAAATATTTAACTGGCAACTTTGGTGTCCATAAGGGTTCAGAAATAGCACACAGGTGGGGACACAAGGACTTTGGAAATGAAAAGTATTGCACACAAACGTGAAATGTGGTTAACTTTGGTAAACCTGTGAGAAAAACAAGAGTTTTTTTTTTTTTTTTAAGAAACACCAAGCGTAAATATTAGCTTTAAAAAAATATTCGCTAAGGGCCGGCACCCACTCACAAGACTGCAGGTTCCTTTGTGTCGCCGCAAGGTGCCCCAAGATAACTGTAATATACGGTTGAACACGCTTGCCTGCGGATCGGAAGGTCGTTAGTTAGTTAGTTAGTTAGTTAGTTAGTTAGTTAGTTAGTTAGTTAGTTAGTTAGTTAGTTAGTTAGTTAGTTGGGTTATCATCATTGCACTCCGGACATGTCCATAGGTGCTCAGATCCTCCCCTCAGTATGAATCCCAACATCCGATGGCTAATAGTACCAGTTCTATGTTGATTAACAAATCTTCTGACGTGTCCGGTGTGCGTCTCGTTTTTTGCTGTGCCGATCTTAATTCCCAAGTCTGCCATTCTGGCGAGTGATGTGGATTCACTGCCACCAAAGTCCTCTATCCTTCCCATTTCTCTGAGGGCATTGATAATATCAGCATGATCCATAGGCCGACCGTCGGTAGTGATAGCGGATCCAGCCAGCCTGTCAGCTCTTTCATTTCCATCGACGCCTGCGTGTCCCGGAACAAAAATAAAGGTGACTCCTCGCACAGTGGACTTCTGAATTGATTCAAGCCATTGTCTTCGCACTGAACCTGCCTGAACCCTCCGGATCATACTCATTGAATCGGAAGGTCGTGGGTTCGGGTAATGACGGGGCCGGTTGTTTTTTTTTTAGCCTTGCCCCCCCCCCCCCCCCCCATCCCCAGATCGACCAAACCTTGAGTGGGGTGTTGTTGTTCGTCCATCTAATGTTTATGGGAAGGTACTGATCGGTTCATCATCAGCACCAAGTGCCTTGCCGACTAGCGTCGACGATCATGCCTCTCCACAGTCCGCAGTTGCGTGTATCAGTTCGTGTGCTGACAGCCAATCATACCATGACAAACGGCTGTCAAGAATCCTCTCGCGCTGTTCTGACTCTCTCTCTCTCTCTCTCTCTCTCTCTCTCTCTCTCTCTCTCTCTCTCTCTCTCTCTCTCTCTCTCTCTCTCTCTCCACAGATATTTTCAATGGTCGTAACATATTCCAGTTTCTCCCTTCTCATACATGACCAAACAATTCTGACTGTCTCTTTCTGACGTTTGTGATGAGTTGTCTTCGAGTACTCGCCTCTTTCCAAACAGCTGGGTTGGTCTTCCTTACCGTCGAAGGAATTCTAAGGATTCTTTGTAAAACCACATCTCCAAAGCCTCAAGATATTGTTCGGCTTGTTTATTAATTGTCCGGGATTTACAGCCGTGTGTTAAAACTTGTTCCTTGAAGCTTGCGAGAATTCGTTCCTAACCTCCAATGGCATGGATTTATTGCACAAAATGTACTTCATTTTATAAAAGCCAGTTTTAGCTTGTCATGTTTTGTTCTTCATCTCCGCGTTACGTCTTCCACCGGATGCTTTTCATG